ATATCGTAAGCAAATGAAGCTGTCATCACATGACTACAGGTTTCTTCGTTTATGCCTACTTTCCTTATATGGTCTCTGGGACGCATCAATTAGGATTTCAACTATGTAGAGTGTACTAATTTCATTTCCTGTTGAACCAGATATCTGAGCGGTTGCGTGTATATTTACAGTAAACAACCGCGTCCCCTTCACTCATCTCCGTATTCATTCCTCGACAGAGTTACGCGAAAACTCAGTACGTTCTCCAGCACGATTATCCAGTGAGATGGAGCGTACGAATCTTTCGCACCTGTGGTCCTGCCGCCTGTGCATCCAGAAACCGCTAACATTTGGATGGTGGTCTTAGTATCAGCTTTGCGCCAAAAGGATTAGAAATAGCTGCGAAAAAATTCATCGAAACCTAACTGTGTTTGAGAATCTTGTGAGCTAAATTGTCTTGCTACGTTGTGTCGAAATGTGCACCAACAAACTAGCAGCATACCGCAGCTCCAATAAACGATAGTTTCGCTCAGTTACACTTGCCTAAACCAAGTGCAAAACATCAACACATTTCATGTTGTGTTGTGTGTTATTCAAAATATCTGAAAGATAGTATTGGACATCTGTGGGACTTTTACTCCTAATGCATTTTCACGGAATTAATGAGTTTGCTCCTCTTCTAGGTGCGGACCGTTGGAAGAGCTTTTCCTCGGGCTCCGTGTAAAACATTCTAACGATTGACTAGTTTCCAACTCGGACCCGTCTAGTGTGGACCAGAGCGTTGTTGTGTTTGATTGTCGTTTTCTTCGAGCTCCTCTTCTCAGAGATAGGAAGGAACTCATCAGCAGGTAAAAGTTTGAGAGTCGTCAGTGATTTTTGCTTAGTATAGCCAGGAGACGTTTGTTCACGGAAATATGATTGATTCCGCGTTTTGACTCGGTCCGTTGTTAATTCCTTCCTCTTTTTTGTGGAGGTTTCGTCCGGTATGTAAAGCTATGGTATGCCGAAAAGCCCAGAAGTAGTGTATGGCTTTTTCATCCTTATTGGGAATCGTCAGCAGTGCGCATCTCACGAACATCCAGAGGGTCCGGAATCCGCGAAATCCCAGATAGTAGTTTGAACATTTGACCGTTCGGCGACGAGTGCCTGATCAGCCTTGGAATCAACTCGCATTTATACAGGATGTAGCGTTTGCTCCACCTTAGCTTGTAGTCGGGGACAAGAATACATCCAGAGCAATTGAAGACATCCAGTAATCGGTCCTACAGCCAACGTAGTTCGATAGGAACCTCTCTTTCTGTTCAAAGTCGTCACCCATATAGTCATGGAAGTGGGAATCGTGGTACCGAAAATCCGATGGACTTTGACTGTGCAAACTAATGAACTCGTTAGTCGACAATCGTCACTCTGCACAGTCCGCTATTCAAAAGGTCAGAAAAATTCTTTATTTCTGAATGACTTTTGCAAATTCAGTGAGCACTAAGCTGCTTCAGGTTTTTCAACCCACCAGTGTTAAATCCTGTGTTGCTTCCTTGCGTAAGCTCGTTGGTGGAAACCATGACAATGACAAGCAGGTGAGGATATCCCTTTACCTGTCACACCATTAGCAACTGAACACTCGGAAAATGGAGAGTTTCCCTCCCCTACGGAATCATACTCAGCACTTTTAGGATAATTTGTAAGATAAGACTACTGTTGGTGTCTCTTTGGACTAATCTTAACGGGACGATTTAAGTGCACCACAAAACTCATTTTCTCCCTGTACTACGAAAATACTGTCTCCATTGAAACATAACTTGGTGTTTGTGTGCTCAATTTGCGCTGCAGTTCCCTACCCTGATAGACATATCGCAACATATTATCTGGAGGATATCTTATCTTGGGTCGGCTACTGGAACGCCAATATGCATGATGCCAGTATAACCCTGTTGCAAGGTAAGTCATGGTTGTTCTGTTTGAAGGCTTGAGTCAGCTTTTCGTTTTACCAAAGAACTTTTAGAGTTTAGTTTTCATGACTTTTATTTCTCATTGTGCGAAAATTCTTGTTTCCATCCGAACCTTTTGTGAAAGCCAACGAGTGTGTGATTTATCCAGGACATATTTCTTGCCGAAGAAAATCTGGTTACAGCCTCATTGGGAGTGAATCTACCATCAATCCAAGCAAAAGTCATGTGAATTATGTTTCACCGCTAAGGCAACATTCGGGTCTGTGCTGCTTGCATTCGTCTCGTGCCTGGAATGTCATGTACCAGTTCCCCAGAGCACATAACCTAATTTGTGTTGAATAGCCTCCAGCCAAGCTTGTTTGCGCACAATACAGGACATTGTACACTGATGGCATCCAAGCTCACACTGAAGGAAGAATTATTTTCCCTTGTTGCTACAAGATATGCGAGCTGAGGAGCATTGTGTATGACAGTTTTTTCTGATAGGGAATCCTACTATGTGTCTTCCACGGAAATGTTTTTGAGGGAAGCTGGATATTAGGATCGGTAGAGTTCCTGAACTGGAGAAATTTGGGAGTGATAACCAGATGTTTTAACAAATCGTTGTGGCTACGCAATGTTATATTCATTTTTGCCCGAAATTCATACCAAGTATTAGACCACTGATCATTAATATCCCTGCCTGTTCGCGGGGTATTAATGTAACTTGGTAAGTATATGGAATACCCAGTTGCCCTTCCATCTGCATCTTTACGAACGAGTGACGATTGTGTCGGATACCGCAAAAATCGCATAAAAAATCGCATAGCCACAAAAATGCTCTCAAGGGAGAAACCGTACTTACGGTGATCCCAATAGCTACTCAGTTACCAGGCTTCACTTCAACCTCTGTCCTAATTTCAGTAACCTTCAACCTGACCTATCTCTCTGAATCACTCATCAACAAATGGCCCCTTTTTCCTTTGAATTTTTATCGTCACTTCACGGCTCGTCATACCCAATGTTAATTTTCGTTCGTTATCATCAAAATCATTATTTTTAGACAAGTACTTATTTTTTGTCACTTGCATGTGCCTGAAGTATACGGTAGGACAGTATAGCTCAGAGGGCTAACTCATGGCAATTTAAGTCCAGCCGAAAGTAGGTTTACACGCTCACAAAGCAATCAGTGTTTGACCAGCAGAATGCAACATATACGAGAGATATTTGGACGGGGTGGAATTAAAGACGCGCCTGAAGACCACAAAGAATAGTTAGGGCTAACGGGAGGCAGGGTTAAACAAGAGGGTACCAGATCTCCCGTACGAATGTTCGTAAAGCTTCATCCTGTGTTAGAGATCAAGAAAGGAATTAACGAGACAGGTGTATATATATAAGATATATAAAGATATATATAACGGTGAAATATGATAAAAACGAACGGTCATCACAGGGTCTGAGATTCCAGTTGAAGGATCACAAAGAAAAACAGATGTAAGGGAATATGTTTCCCCTCAAGTCCAAAAATAGAAGCAACAGGTTTCCCACTTATTGGGGCTAATCAGTTGGATGTATTTTCCTAGATTCTATAAACCACGCATGCTAATTCAATCCGTTTGGACACGATTCGTTAACTGCAAAATGATTCGGTTTAAACGGGAGACTCGAGTGAATTCTAACTAAATCCCTTTTTGATTATGTATTTGTTCGACCGAACATGCTGTACAAAGTCCATCTAGCATCTCAGTTAAGACGACACTCTGGATACTGTAGGAGACTGTCTAGGAAATCGGTCGTGGGCTGTCGAGTGTTCCCAGAAAACCTATGTGTTCTGTCTAGAGAACGCACTATGATATCTTGGATTTAGTATTCACTGGGTCATGAGACAGTCTTCATGCTGCACATTCAGTATCGTAAACGAGAGTTTCAGTTGGGAATTCAATGGGGTCTTCCTTCAAAACCAGATTAGTTTGCAACTGAGGAAATTTCCCGGACACGTGAACTAAATGAAACTAATTTTGATGCGAGTGGAACCTTTTGGAAAACATACTTCCCGTTTTGCCTGTTTTGGGGCTCACTTCTTAGGCATATCACCTCTGTCCGTATCAGTCCCAAGCTGTACGTGAAAATCAAATAAGTCGTGCTTAGGTTCAAATGATCGTTTGAAAATTGGAATGGAAAGTGAATTTAACGTTTAAAAGGTTCTTTTAAATGTGTTGAAGATTCCGTTTGGAAGAATACTCATGACATCGAAGTATTTCTTGTACGTGACACTGTCATTACGATTGACGAAATCTGTTGGACTGTCCACTCCCGGTTCTGGCGCTTCAGGTACTATAAGATTTTAGACTTGCTTGCTTCTGTGGTTGTCAGTCTGAACATTTTGTCGTTTGATTAATCCACTTTTCGCAGCCAACAGTTTTCATCCCCTTCACACGATTTTTTTCTGGAAAATACTTACCCTCCCATTCTCACTCATTCATAGTGGAATGATTTTCAAACTGATAAATCCTTCGAGCTTAAGATTATACTTCCGTCAGATTACTACAATCTTGTTGACAATGCGACTAGTACTGACATTCAACTATTATCCGCAGATGAATCTAAATGCCAAGTGCTGGCCAGTTGGCTCAACGAAACGCAGTTTCCTTCAGCGAACCTGGACGGAACAGTTGAACTAGGCGATAACTTCGTGCATCTTCAGCGCACAGGAATTCCGAACCCTGTATTTGTAAATGAATCTGTAAGTTTCTTCGTACGTAACTCAGTTACTGTCCACTACTATTATAGTTGTCATTATAATCACCAACACCTGTAGTGTCACCGGAGCCTCAACCATCTAGACCATGACAGTATAATTCGAGACTGCTGAATTTACCCGTCGTTACTGATAGGTTCCAAGCGGATAACTTTACCGCTGTATATTCTGCAGAATACAGTCTGCTAATTACGTGACATAATTGTTTTTTCCCTAATCCTCAGACTAATTCATCACCCTTCCGGTGACTGCTCAAGTTTCAAGACTGAGCCATTCTTTTTTCTACGAAGTTGACTCTGTATTAACTATTTTTCTATAGTCGATTTGTTCACATTCATTTCTGGGCTTGCTGTTGAAAATCTGTCCCTCTTTGGACTCAGCATTTTCCCGTTTAAGTTGTCCGATGTTATGCTGCGATTTCTGCGTCATCCTGTGTTGTCCAAGGTTTAATGTAACCGTAAGCTTTCCTTCAATTCTCCTCATGATTTACTGTTAATTTCCTATAGAACCACGGTCTACCTATCTATACTGTCTGCCCACATCTAATTCAATATATTGTTCGCTACCCAGTTACGACCACTGAACAAACGCAGATGGAGTTCGTTGAATTCGGTTTCGCCGCAATTATTACTGACCGTCCGTCGTTGAATTAGACTACACGTAGACTGTCAGATAGGACATCTAGATAGTGTGTTTAGGCTAATTAACCAATTCCTTGCTTTGAGATCACGGCCTTACAACAGGATCTTACAGTCACCGATGTCGGGAAACGCATTACGTGACCTTTGGACCAAGAAAAAACGAGCTTGTCGTTATCAACAAGTATGAGTTCGGTCCGAGACAACAAAGAAGAAATCTACAGTTAAAAACTCATACAGAGAGAAGCAGACGAGGAAAAGTTTCCGGACTCACTTTTGGTCAAAGACAAGATTTCTGAACACATTCTGACAAGTTAGAGATAGTACCTGAAAGCGTGAAATAAACCAAGGGATAGCACCTTCTCTTTGTATGTAGAAATGTCTACCTAATCCCCAAGCCGCACTGCCTTACTTCTGTTGCCCCTTTTTTGAATGTCGACGATCTTTATGTCTGCTCTATGTGGCATAGTACCTGACGATGCTACCTGATTGTGCAACTTGTGAGGTGACCACAAGAAAGTGGTGCAGTGGTCGGAACTGAATGATTGCCTGACACATGTTGAGCAGGTTATCGATTTTCTGGGTCAATATCGAGTCAGGCTAATAGCGGACTGTTTCGTCAGTGTAATAAGTCCCAGGTTGGAGGTGAAAACAATATTAAAGCGGAACTGTTCGTTTGCAGAGAACCGCTTCATCAATGGGAGGATTTTAGCGGTCCTCAAAGATTCTTTCAAAACTTTGGGCCTGAGATATATGTACTTCAAGTCTGGAACAAAAATATCTGAATCTCCCAAGACAATTACATGTTTTTGCTGCGAAGATCCATCGAGAAGCAACTGCTCCATTTAGGTGCAACATGTTCATTATTTTTGGCAATTCGCTGTTAAAAGTATGTTAAACTGCCTGCAGACAATATACCGAGAATAAAAATTGTTCAGGTGTAACACCCCTCCGGTGCATAGCTGTCGCGGACCCTGTGAATCGGGGGATTCCAATGTGAAAAGTTGATTGGATTTTCAAACCAGCCATAATGGACATGTATCCAGTTCCGTCTTTTCGTGTCAAAGTCAACCATATCGATGGCCTCACTTGCAGGACAAGGGATGCCGCGTGCAGTTTGAGTAAGACTGCCTGTGCAACTATCTGAATTATCTTCAGTCTTTGTGAACTTGTTAGTGCTCCAGTCGTAACTTAATGAAATTGATTATCAGAAGGTAAAAGGCACTAACAAATGTCTATTTTACCAGAATGACGATAAATACAATAGTTACATGCACTTTGCTAAATATAGATAAAATACGAAAAGTGGAATAAGCCAAAAGGTGACTTGTCGTTTGAGGACAACTGTTGAGGTTTCCTGAATGAAGCTCCTGACCCGGAACGTGTCATCTCTTCAGTACAGGTGCTACACGTGTTCCTTAGTTATCCGTGGAGAATTGTGAACCTCGGTTGGCTTCCTGTCGTGTGCGCGTGTGTATGCTTTGGCCCGAGTTGTATACCTATTTGTTGTGTGCACTGCGAAGAGAGGGGTGTCCCTTCGTGTTTGATGCTTGCACAAACATGGATACATCTTGCCCTGATGTGGCTGAAGTTCGTAAGCAGTGCGTGTGACGCAGGTGGTAACCGCGTAAGCAAAGATGGATGGTAAGCTTTGATATACATTTTGTCGGCTAAGGTTGTAAGTGGGACAAGAATTGTCACGTTGTTTGAGTGTTTGTGACGCGTAATCTAGTGAGTGACCGCTACAAACTCACTAGAGGGAGGCTGGTAAGTGAGCAGGAAGAGGTGATCCTAAGGCCATCTCCCTACCGCTGGCACGCTAATTCCCATCCACCCACCGATTTATTTGCTGCTCACCGATATATGCAGAAGTTTCATTAGGTATATTTACATTAGAACACATGGATACAGAAGTACATGTCCTTGGGTTTCAAATGGCGGTTTTGCAGACCAATCCTGAAGATTACTTCAGGAGTTTCTTCGGGCTAAACTCAGGCATGGTATAACAGATCCACCTAATTCACATAACATAAGATTGCAAGATCAGTAATCGCAAACCCATCATTTATTTAATCTATAGCGACGATCAGGGATATTTCCAGTCAGTTTGAAAACGCTTCAAACTGGTGTTAGCAAACACTCGGTCGATCCATTGTTGGGTAACTTTTCGCTTTTGACACAAAAGCCTCGTCAAGATGATTGGCTATGTTAGATGGATGGTCAAAGTTTTGGGCAGAATCGGTCAGCTGGATCGCTTCCCATCCTCAGGTTTAATCAGTGTAAGGGTTGGATAAGACGGTGAGCTGATAACCTCTGCAAGACGCACTGTTATTCCGAACCATGAGCAACGGAAGTTTCTCATAATAAATGCATTGTGAGATATCACGAACTTATCTATAGTGAACCCAAATTTAGGGACGAAAACGCTTGGCTTATGAAAAAAGAGTGGGTTTTCATACAGAATATAGGAATTTTTGGCAGGCTATGAGTTCGTCATTTTCTAGCAAGCTGAATTCAGCGACTTCAGACTGAGGTGATAAGACTAAATCTTGCGTATATTTTCATCATCACTAGTGATAGAGATTTCATACTTTTTTGATCTTCTTCAGAAACGTCAGCAACTGAGTCCTAACAAGGAGTTCTACTACCATGCCCCTGAACCATTGAGTACAAATTTCGGGCATGACAACTTACCCGCGGAAAGCGTGACACCGACTTCCAGACAGCATGCTGAAAAGTTGATCTGGTCTATCTGGCGCTGCGCTGTTTTGCGTCCTGCTCGGATTTCATCTGACTCGGTAATTAAGTACGCATAAACTTGGTATTTTCACTGTTTTATGTCTTCGCCAGACCGGGTACCTATCGTTTCCTAAGTTATTGTTAACCGTAGCGCATCCTAAAGGACGATGAAGCTGTTTAGCAGGACCATAAGCCCACGTGCACGGGATAGCAGAATTATTCACTTTTGAAGTGAGCACTCTTTTGACAACTTTGTGCCTTTGAGTGATTCACTCGCGATGTGGATTTGGATTTTGTTGTTTATGTTGATTATGTGTTTCAGCTCGACGCTGGACGCTCAGCTGGACGCTGCGTCCACATGTGATAGCAACTGTGCATTCACAACTTTCACTCTGTGGCTTTTGAACTTGTGTTTCTTCCGCTAATCTGTTCATTCCTTATCCGCTTATCATCTATTAAAAACAGTTTTAAATTTCAATATCCTGCCCAAACTTCCACTCAGCATCGCTTTTCGATTTATTTAGGCACTCAACACTCCATTACCATGCATTCAAGAATTGCTCACAAACCTCTACCAGTGTCTTTTGGCGGGATGGTTTCCGGTTGATTTTCAACACTCGCAATCAGGTAGGCTGTTTACCTATAAACCAAAGTTTGTGGGATCTACTAGAAGGCCATAATTCTCTTTTTATTTTGGGGATCAACTACACTTAGAGTTGTCCATTATTGTACCGAGGCCTTTTGAATTATCTGTACCACTCAGTAGTCAGAGGTTTCTGCGTCGATAACGTGTAGTAAACATTGTTTCATTCCATACAGGTCTTACCGCATTAATGGTTTGTTGTGCCGCTGGCTTGATTGACTCCGTTGAGCGTCTCCTCAGCTTCGGAGCCAATGTTGCACTTCGAGTTCCATTTCCCTATGAAATACTGCAGTCGTTGGTGTCCAACGATATCAGTCACCAGTTATGTGGTCCCAGAAATCGGCGAATACAAATAGGAAGTCAAGTCTATTTGGTGGTGGGGGTGAACGCGTATGACTTGGCCAGACTTTTTGGACACCAACATGTAGAAGCGACCCTGCTGATACATATGTAGGTTTTTCTGCCTGTCGTCATTGCTGCCTCCTACGTTCCAAACTGTTCCATTCCGTTTCATTTGTGTTTACAACTTACGTCGCATACTAGACCCCAGAGTAACGCTAGATGCAACTTATTATAGTTCTTGGAATCGGTGTTCATCAGTCTTTTAAATGTTCACGGTTTATTGCGAGTTATCCGTAGTACTGCAGCCTTGTATTGGGTCCGTTCAATACTCTTGGTTGTGTAGTTCTCAATGCAACAACTATCTTCCAAACCATCCCCGAAAGCCAGGCGAATGAATTCACGAATGATGAAACCTTGTTAACACTGCTCCAGTAATTTGATCATATCTGGGAATCATCAAGCATACAAATGTGCCAACTAGAACTCTTATTCTTCATGCCCAATCAATCTTCATACTCTCCATGCTTAATCAAATTTTTCGACTTTTGATGTTCTGTTTTCCTTCAATGTTCATGGATTTGAGCAGCTTTCCCATCTCCGCTTAGGATGCATTGTCTCAGTAAGAAGCACAATAATACCGTTCAGAATGTTTGAGTGTTCCAAATTGTGACAGTCACTATGTGTTATTATATGTCACTACATATTGCTCTCTTGTCAGTGGACTCCACTTAAAACAACGATTGGATTTGGAACCTATAATTCATTTCCACAGAGACACAGCGTTGACTAGGATGAGGATCGTGAGGACCATGACCTCGGGTTTGGTCTAATTAGTCACTCAGTTAGCTCCACCTAGTCAAAATAAATATTACCAATTTAGGGTGGCAGAGCTCATCATCATCATCATCAACATCATCATCATCGACAGCATGACATAACTGTTCAACACCGATGCTTCACTGCCGAGCTGGATTTCAAGCACTCATAGTGCCTTCAATGCGAATGTCTACGACGATAATATTTATTATGGTTGTTTCTTCAGGTTAGTTTGAGGATTATACTAATATTACCATTGTTGACTTTGGTCGTGTAGCTGTATGGTTTCGATTTTGTGTTTTTTTAAAGCAGACCAACAAAGGACACTCAAAACGTTGAAGCCTGACATACTCTACGATCGTATGTCCTTACCAGTCCTTTAATATTTTTGTTCGATGACTTCATCTGCATGTGTCGACTGCACAGATTTGTGTGCTAGTCATGGTCACAGATTTCAGCCACTGTATGCATATGTGATGGGGTGAATTTATTAATCCCTGATAATACCCACAGTTTGTTAGGATACGTCCACTATGACGGCTTGCAGAGTTTATTAGTGAAAAGAGCAAAACTCATGGGATCACCAATAAAGCATAGCAAGGCGTGTGACGAGAAGTCAAAGGCGTTTTATGCGATCATAATCACCAAAAGAGACAGAGTTTATTCATATCTGTAGCACTGTTATCTAGGCATGCTTAATGTTCCAGTGTGACCTAGTCGGGGTGATCTGCATGCAGAAACATCCGGGCAAGTTTCTTCCGTCTGCAATTCAACTTACCGTTTGATTCTCTCAAGCCGTATTTTCGGTCTTGGAAGACTGGAAGACGATCGAAGTGTACGGTCAGATCAGTAACAACTTAGCAATGTATGCCCATACAGTGGTTCAGCACAGAAGTCTTACATTTAGGTTATTGAAGGGAAATGTTGCCAATATTGGTAAATCAAATAATTATCAGAATTAATGCGCATCATATAAGGGAGAATATTAGATTACGCTTTTTGGCGTCGCATAATCGAAATTCACAAATCGGTTAATCTTTTCTGCTTCGTTGATCTTTTGCGATCCAACAAACCATCTTACCCAGAAACATCGCAGCTAGGAAGATCTCTTGAGTACAGAGAGTGTAGGTGTGTCTGATTAGTGGGTGCCGGAATTCATGAATGCACTTTACCGTCTTATGTACAGTTGGCTCGTAATTGAAACAGTCACTGCTAAAAGGGCTGCGTAGATTAAGGAATGTTCGAAAGGAATTGACTGAACATGGATCACTGGCCACAGTTTTAGTAAAAATTCGGAAGCGTAGTCAACCGCGAATTCCGCCCAGGTAGTTGTAGCGGGATTGGCCGTATGCTGGTTTGTCTAACATTTCATCAGCTTTGAGCAAACACCAAGCGGCGAATAACCACAATTGCAGACATGGTGAATATGAATTGTGTGGTTTATTGGTTCAGTCTACATGATTATTTTCCCACTGAAATTTGACCAATTTGAAGCAACCAAACAAAAACCAAATATCCGCCAAGACTGGACCAAGTGAGTAATATATTACTTAGTTCTTTTTTTATGATATGATGCTCTTAGGGTGTATTTAAAGTTTCTGTTATCGCCCAGCTGACTTTTCTCACATTGACGAGGTCACCAGTTTTCATCCTGCGGACATATTCCGTAAAAATGCTCCGAATATGGTAACATGTATCGTGCTCATCTGACTATTTGCCTATTCTTTCAGTGCAGCTCAGAGTTTGCGACATATACCGGAACACCATGAAGCCGTGCTTCTCCGATATGGTGCATGGTTTTCCAACCCAGTCAACGCCTCGCCATTTTCCACTTATGACTTGAAGAGTGCAAACAAATCTGCAGTTGGTGTGGACAGTGAGGCTGCCAGAAACTTGTTGCTTACCTATCACACCTCCCGTAACCTCCGCGAACCTGAAACTGCTGTGGACTTTGATTTGTTGAGGGCCCTTCTGAAGAAAATGGATTCAACCATGCCAGAAGGTATGACTTGTAAACTATTACAATGTCGGATTTACGGACGGGTACATGAAATGGAAGTAAACTTTCCCACTTTTTCTCCAATTTCACTTCTAGACCTAGTTACGCTACCATATTAATAAAATCCCA